TAGTCCTAGTCCTAGTCGTAGTAGTAGTAGTAGTAGTAGTAGTAGTAGTAGTAGTATTTGTAGTAGTGGTAGTAGTAGTAGCAGTAGTATAGAAGAAGAAGAAGTAGTAGTGGTAGCAATAGCAATAGTAGAAGTAGCCGTAGCAGTAGCAGTAGCAGTAGCAGTAGCAGTAGCAGTAGCAGTAGCAGTAGCAGTAGCAGTAGCAGTAGCAGTAGCAGCAGTAGCAGCCGTAGCAGCAGTAGCATATTAGTAGTTTAGTCGTAGTGGTGGTATTAGCTAGTAGGGGCACTCGTCGTCGTAGTCATACAAGCTTTAGACCATGCGTGAAAACATTCGCCTGGGCCCTACTCGCCAGGGTATTAGTATTTGCCGGCAACCCATACCCACTGAACATAAGGTGTAGGGTCTTAGTGTAGAAAACACAGACACATCCTCCTCCTAAATCGACTAGCCCCCGAAACCCTAGCCTAGGCACCACAGCCCAATGCTGCCTTCCTGGCGTCGGCATCGATCGCATCTCCTGTGGGACGGGGCTTGGCGTGCAGTCCCAGTCACAACACTTGGCCAAAGCCGCCCGAAACCCTCAAACCCAAGTCTCCAAAGCACAAAAGCCCGATAACCCAAAGCTGCCTGGCTGATGTGTCGGCTGGGAATCGACTGAAGCCCCTGCGGACCGCTTAGGGTTCAAGGGTTTAGGGCTTAGGGTTTACGGTTTAGGGTTCAGGGGTTAGGTTAGGGGTTAGGGTTTAAGGGTTTGGGTTTAGGTTTTTTGGGTTTGGGGCTTGTGTAGAGGTTGAGAGGTTTGGGGATCAAGCTCAAAAACTCTTGTTTCATGGTGCAGACAAACATTTGGCTAGAACTAATAATCGAGCATATGCAAATTAATCAAACTTTGTTGCATCTAAATCCTGAGCACTCGAACCCTCTCTCTAGGGGTATGCAACAGCGAGCCAAGGCAAATTGTGCATTGCTATATTACATGGAGCCCGAAACCTAAATCCCAAACACTACAACAATTGCTGCACGATCTCAAAACCCGAACCCGAATATCTATATTGTACTGGAAACTTGAAACCCCACCGGGCAAAGGCTTCCGTTTAACTGGGCGAGAATCTGAGGACTGGCCTTGGCCATCTACTGCTCGGGCTGCGGGTCCCAACCAGCGACGATGCAGGCGTACTTCCACCTGGGCAGAATTTCACCCTAAGAACCGGGAGGGGTTGATGTATCCTCTAGTCGAAGCATTAAGGTTCGGTCGCTGGTCTGAAGCCACCCACTTTGGTCCATGTGACATTGCAGCCACACTTCTTGTTGACCTGTTCATGCATGGTATTGGGGTTTAGGGTTTAGGGTTTAGGGCTTCGTACGAACATTCGTGTCACACAAAAGAAGATGGGTAACACAATCAGAGGGCCTTGAGTTCAGTCTCCCAGGCTTCGTTCAACTTCATGACATAGGCATTGAACTCGTCGAGTTTCGACTTCGGCACTCCGGAAACATAGAAGGTGCCATGTTGGATCCTTGGTCTACTGTCCGCCCACGTGATTGAAAAGGTGCACGAGCAACATATGAAGCCAGAGCACAAAACCCCAATTGAGGTGGGGCCCCATGGACAGCCTCGGGCCGCCTCGTCATCCAGCCGAAGTGTAAACGACCTGGGCAGCAGGATCGGGGGCCGGAATCATGCTCCTTTACTTGCTAAGGGATCCACCCAGTTTTGTCGAGAGCTTCATCAGCAGGAATCGCCATGCGATCATCTTTCATAGCCAGCTTACGAAGGGCAACGATGTGCCGGCGTCTGACATCCTAGCCAAGAGCCCCCATGCAAGAAGCTCCAAATCTTATTTGGTGCTAACTGTAGAGCAGACGGCCTTCTGATAGTCGGTCAGCTTGTCGATCACCTGTGACAAGCCAGCTATCATGTCGGAATCATATAATATACAGCTATATATATATATATATATATATATATATATATGGATCCATGCACATATCGATGTCATCAGTGCTGCGGGCCTTTGTTTCATCATCACCACGAGGTTGCGAGGCAGGGATCTCGGTATCGGCTTCGGCCTAAAGTCCAAACACACACACACACACACACACACACACTCACACACACACACACACACACATCTCGACATAATATAGACGTGCTAGCTGCTAAACGGATCACGACATGATAATGCCATGCGTGCAAGTCACTGCTTTGGGGGCTTCGGGCTCCGTCTCCGTGGCCCTTTTTTTTGGCATAGCTTTAACTTTGATCTTGGCCTTGGCCTTTGTAGTCGGTTTCGCTTTGGGCGGTTTGGCTTCAGCTGGCGGGCAAGCGGGCTCGGGTTCCTTGACCACTTGATCCTCCAACACTTCATCCTCGTCATCTAGATCCTCGTCCTGCCGAATGTCCTTGCTGGCCCGTCCTCGGCCTCGTCCCCGGCGACCTCGTCCTCTTCCCCGGCCTTTCTTGGCCGGAGGTTGCTCATTAGGATCCAAAACATCTGCTGCTTTGCGAATCCGGCTTTGGGCCTGGCCAGTGGCAAAGGAATAAACCCCAACAAAATCCCAATTGCATGCTGCATACATCCCGAGTCAACTGCCTCCAGAAGGCTAGGCTGACCCTCAGCTTCCTTCTCGATCTTGGCTGCTAGCTCTTCTGCAGCTTGGGCCAAGCTCCGAGGGACCGGCTTGGACTTGACCTTCAGGCCTTCATGCTCCTGAGCAGCATGACTGCACAATCTACTCGCTGAAGTTTGAAAAACCCAGTGCGGGGGGCACCTTAGCGGCATCGTGGCTCTTCCCACCCTGCTCCTGGTCTACCTCCACCTCCATTGCAGACTTCGCCTGCTCTGCCTCATCCGTCTTAACCTCCCCTGCAGACTTCGCCTGCTCTGTCTCATCCGCCTTAACCTCCCCAGCAGACTTCGCTTGCTCTGCTGGCTTATCCCCCTTCACCTCCTTGGCACACCCCGGTTTTTCATCCTGAAGTGCCTCTGCATCCTCCAAAGCCATATGCCCACCCTTGTCCTTGTGCGGAGTGCACTCAGCCCGGTAGATCTCAGGATCTGCAACCTGATCCTCTTCGTCCTCTTCTATCTCCTCCTCCTCACCCTCCAAAAACTCACCTTCCTGGGCCTGCTCCACCTCAGCTTTCAAGTCCTCCCCGAAGCCACCAGTAACGGTGTTCTGCCGGGAGGGGTCACGTCCGGTGGCCTCGTCCTGCAATCATAGATTGGCATTATTTAATTCAGTATTTATAAGGGTTTAGGGTGTAGGGTTTAGGGTATAATACCCGAATGAAGTCACCCTGCAAATTCGAACTTTGAATTAATACCGAATCCTGCGGCTTCTTCTCCGTACGAAGGAAGTTCACGAGCCACTTCAGCTTGTACATGTTGTCGTGCCCATTCCTATCACAGAATCTAGAAGATATGGCAGTAGTCTTGCCACGAGCATACACGATTTAACTGCAACGACTCTGGCTGATCATGCTGCACTGCTGCACTCCAGGCCTGGTTGCTTCATTCCTCCTGGCCCGGTCCACAACATATGCGATCAATGATCTGCCCAAGTCGCCCTCAGTTCGGGCCCATGCCTGCCGGCAACTCAAAGCACTACTGAAAATCTGTGGCTATGTTAACTTAAGCCGGCCTCCTTTTTCTTTGCTGAGGCCTTCTTGCCCAACAGTTGAAAGTCTGCCGCGATCTGCTCAAGGGCCATTTGTGCCTCTAAGCTGGTTGGGCTCTTGAGGCCGAAAGTGCTCAACCACTTCGCCGCGAAATCGAAATTCAGTTGGTCTTCCACCTGGTCCGACTCAATTGCAAATCTGTCTCGGTGCCCTATGCTGGCAAGTTCATGCGGCCTCTGCCACGGACACCACACCCCGGAAAAGGTTCACAAAACTGAAGTTGATGGGAACCTGCCATGAACATGTCATCGTGCTGCCACTTACCGATACCTTTACCAAAACAAGCGAGGCTTGCCACACCCTGTGCCAGGGCGTGCTCGATCTTCTCTCTCGAAAGGTTGCTCCTCTTGATGAGCTCCTCCATCCTAATCATCTTCCAGTCGTCCTTCAATAGCGTCTGGTAGAAGTCCTGCACAGGGGTGAGACATCCGATATATGTGTATATACATACACGTGTACATGTACAACGACATAAGCCGAATCTGTGATCAAACTGGATAGACAAGGGCCTGCAGTAACTTTACTCGCACAGGATCCGGCTTCACCCGGCCCATGGCGCTGGCACTGGTTTCGATGCGACGAAGGGAAAATCGGGCTTCCAGCAGGGTATGTTCTAGAGACCTCGACCCCTTTTATGATAATAAGCCGAAACCCCCTACCTTCGAACCCAGACAATGGTGGCATTCGCAAGCATAATAGCAAAAAGCTCAGCCAGCAGCTTGCAAAAGATGCATGACAGGGTTACCCTCCTGCCCAGGATCCAAATCATCAAGAGTACCTGCGAGGGGGTTTGGAAGTCCAAACTATCGGGTCATAAATGTCGACTGTAGGGCACTGCTCGATAAAGCTTTCCGCATTCCATTGCAGTCGAAATCATCAGGCCATGTCTCGTGGTTTGGTTGTTGCCGGTCATACTTCTGTGTCTTGTCGTGCTTCTAGAATGAGCGATGCGATGGTTTCTTCGTCCTGTTTGGGCCTTTCAAATGGCCTTCAGGGCTGCACATCAAGAACGGCTTAAAAAAAACCGGCAATCTACGGTTTTTAATGAGTAAAACGAGGGGGCTCCTGGCCCACGTGGAAAGTAGGGTGGTGGAGGGACAGGGAAACTTTTGGGGCTGATTTCGCAGTCTGCAGGGGGCGAAGCAGGTATCATCTGCATACTGGGGCCTTTAGCGCTCAACCTCGGGCCCCATCAGCTCTAAGCATAGTAGATATGTCCAAAGCCTAGTCTACTTGGACAGGCCCTTGCGACATAACACCCTTTTGTTTAGGTTTTTAGGGCTTATTATAGAAAGCCTTCAGAAGCCCTTTAGAAACCTAATAGAACCCGATAGAACCCTATTTCATAGTTTTCATAAGGACCCCCAGCGTTGTTACCCAAAGCAACCAAGGTCTTCAAGGACCGATCGTCGGTGTGGGAGCCACGCTGTTGGGTTTTAGGGCCTAGGGGTTTAGGTTTTAGGGTTGAGGGTTTATAGGGGTTCAGGGCGTAGGTTTTTAGGGGGGGCTTAGGGCTGTCAGGTTTTCGGGTTTAGGGTTTTGGAGTTAGGTTTTGAAGCGAGGGGTTTGTGCGTGTGTGTGTGTGTGTGTGTCTTCTCATACCCTAAAACCGCAAAGCATAGACTCGAAGCCCTTTCTTGTTAGATTATTTCGGGTGTTCGCTCGCTTCTTCCAGGACTCGGCGCGGTCGCAGTGGTCAAAATCCTACATGTGTTGTAGGCTCCATATATATGTGTGATTTATATTTATATATATATATATATGTATGTGTTTATATTTATATATATGTATATTTTTGTATTTGTCTTTTATTTATATTTGTATATAGAGTCTATGTTAGGGTATTATTCAGAACATACAAAGAAGAAAGGGAAGTTCTAAGGAAGTTTCTTCCTTGGGAGGAGGTCAGGTTTCAGGGCATAGGTGCGAGGCTTCTGGGTTCTGCGTGCGGCTTACAGGGCTGGTCTGGGTTTAGGGTTTAGGGTTTAGGGTTTGGGGTTGGTCTTGAAACCTCCGCCCTCCAAAGAGGATTGGGAGATGACGAAGATCGCATGCCCTACGCTGCTGGGTATCTGCCACCTCCTTAGAAATTCGACTAAACCGTAGACCCGAAGGTTTGCGTACCTAGGCCTTATAAAGTACCTAGGAGCCCCTTTGAGGCCTAAGTATATATACATGATTTTGGGTACATGGAACCTCATCAGCTTGGTTGCAGAATCTGAGGTTAACGGTTTAGGCTTTCGGGTTCAGCTTAGGGTTTACCTAGACCCCCCCACTACCCTCTAATATGCGCTAAATACCCACGATTATAAGGACCATAAGGGCTCCATTAAAGGGCCCTTGGGGGGTCCTGGTAAACCCTAAACCCTAAACCCTAAACCCTGAACCCTAAACCCTAAACCCTACAACTCCTACATCTTACGTCCCAAAGAAGCTGCGCTTCCCTTGAGGACCCCCG